CATCTCAATAAATTAGAATGTCGTGGAAAAGTTCATTTATTATATATATATATATATATATATAATAGATAAATAACCTGCTATTCATACCCCTTGTTAGGAATCATTGCATCAGGTAACTTAAAACATTTAACTGCTACAATATATAATGTGGGGATGAGGATTTGTATTTCTGGCTTCTACTGACTCCTAGTGTCTAAATGAGACGCTTCATGCTTGAACATGGGAGTAGCAGAAAAAGGAACAGCCAAAAATTCGGTTAGGGTGTTATTAATAATTGGCAATAGTGATCTGATCGCAAAAAGAATGATTATAAACAGAACAGTGATTATATTTCTTTTTCTCCATCACATGCAGTGTCTTAGATCAACATATTTATATCTGTTCTCTCTTACTTTACCACCATGGCATCATAAGAGAAAGTGACAGCTCTTTTGTTTTACCTATAGTCGTCTCTTTGAACATGCTCTCCGAGATACTGATAAATAGTATTTTGGGACTTGAAATTAAAATGTCTTAGTCTTTGGTAGGAACATTTAAGGATTCATCTGTGAATTTTGCATTCGGCCACCTGTCACATGCTGCGGTTCTTCCTCATCCATCCCGCAGTCAAAGGACACGCAGCTGCGCTTGTGTGGTTCTGCAAGAGAACACTTACAGAGACAGATGCCTGTGAAATACACGGCCGTCTGTGAAGCTTTACAGGTGTTTATACTTATAACAGCGATCCCCTGGAGAGCTGAATGACAGTGGAACAACACTGCTGGCTGTCGGTCTGCTCAAGAGTGAGCTGAAACTGAATAAATCCATAAAGAAGTGACTGTAACTGATTATGAAGCATTTTAAAATGTAATATAATTAATTACAAGTACTTCATTTTTGGAATCCAGATTACATATACTCAGTTACTGTTTAAGGGATAGTGTAAGGAATATAATGCAATGCCATGATTTTGGGACAATTCATGGGAAATGTTTTGTACATGTCTCAAGAATCACTGTTTTGACTTTGCTATGCATCAATGGTCATTATTTCCAATTTTCCAATTTTAAATGAATCAGGATTCAAACAAGCAGAAAATCCTAACAGTACCTACTGTTAAAAATAGAATATCATATTCACAAAAGTCAAATATAAATGTCAGAAAATAATCAGTTTTTCATCACTTTTGTGAAGTACATCAGGGACACCATGCATTTATATATTTGCAGGGGGGACTAGTGACAGTCCTGGCTCATTTGGTGTCCAAAACGAGATACAACATGGCTAAACAGGGGAAAACGCTCTTTAACGATTGTAAGATTTCCAATGAGAAAATGTACCTGAGTCAAACCCCAACTTTAGCTTATTGTTGCATTTTGTAATTAAACAGAGGCTGAAATTGTCCATAACTAAACAAAATAATTTTCCCTGTCCCATAAAAAAAAGACAAACATTTTAAATCTGTCATCTGTGGAAGTAGCAAACTCAGTTAGACTGACCAAATTGAGACATCACATGCAAATGAATGATTTGTGCCACTGCTTTTCAGACAAAAACTTTTTACCTCTAAAAATGTGCGCATTTTATTTTATTCATTTATTTTGGAATTTAATTAATTAATTTAATTTAATTCATCCACTTGACTATAATGTCAGGGAGCACACAAGGGGCATGACACATTTGAGGTTAATTATTTTAAATGCATCTCTCTCTGTAATGTTCTGACCCTTTCACTAGGACTAGAAGACATTGTTTATAAATAGATTTTCATTTTGTCCTATTCTGTATTTTCTTTTAAGCCAATGTTGCTCATTTCACTTGAACTCACAGTCTGTGCTTCTTCCCATCTTCTCTCAGATCTTCTTTATGCACCAAGAACTTGTAACACTCCAAAGAGAAAGGAAAAAATGAAATTGCATCATATGACCCCTTTAAATGCATCTCTCTCTGTAATGTTCTGACCCTTTCACTAGGACTAGAAGACATTGTTTATAAATAGATTTTCATTTTGTCCTATTCTGTATTTTCCTTTAAGCCAATGTTGCTCATTTCACTTGAACTCACAGTCTGTGCTTCTTCCCATCTTCTCTAATTTTGCTGCCCTAACTTTACCCCAGACACCCAGAAAATCACATAAAACACTGCACCAGCCTGAGAACATCTCAATGAAGCCACTATCCGCGGGTAATGCTTCTGTCAACCACTGGAAGGCAGTTTTGTACAGATTATTTCACCCTGTTTTCTCTGTTGCATGTAAAAGCACAAAAAGCAGGACATCTGCTCTGTTTAGTCATCTTCAGGGGCGGACTTACCCATTAGGCAAAGGTCAGCGACCGCCGTGGGCCCTCAAAAGCCAAGGGCCCCCTAAAATGCTTTTCATACACCAGATGCGCATTAAGCGCGGACACGCAAACGGTTGCTGTTTTCGGTGTTTATTACCACGACAACCGTCTGTGTATCCACATTGAACCTGCTTCTTGTGTATCAACAGTGGGTATTTTATGTTTATTGTTTTAAATGCCGCTTATTCATGAAAAGGAGCCAAATAATTTTTTTGGTTGATAAGCCTATAATCCTTAGGTGTGTAAATGCATTCTTTCCTTTTCATTCTTTTTTTTTTTCAGCTTCATTTAAATTTGTAGTTAAAATAACAAATTAAATGTATTTTATATTTTTTCAATCTCAATGAAGCCACTATCCGCGGGTAATGCTTCTGTCAACCACTGGAAGGCAGTTTTGTACAGATTATTTCACCCTGTTTTCTCTGTTGCATGTAAAAGCACAAAAAGCAGGACATCTGCTCTGTTTAGTCATCTTCAGGGGCGGACTTACCCATTAGGCAAAGGTCAGCGACCGCCGTGGGCCCTCAAAAGCCAAGGGCCCCCTAAAATGCTTTTCATACACCAGATGCGCATTAAGCGCGGACACGCAAACGGTTGCTGTTTTCGGTGTTTATTACCACGACAACCGTCTGTGTATCCACATTGAACCTGCTTCTTGTGTATCAACAGTGGGTATTTTATGTTTATTGTTTTAAATGCCGCTTATTCATGAAAAGGAGCCAAATAATTTTTTTGGTTGATAAGCCTATAATCCTTAGGTGTGTAAATGCATTCTTTCCTTTTCATTCTTTTTTTTTTCAGCTTCATTTAAATTTGTAGTTAAAATAACTAAAATTAAATGTATTTTATATTTTTTCACACTTTTCTCATTCTCACTAATTCAAGTTTTTATATGAATGAATCGCCTGCCTTCAGAAAAGTTTTCATGGTATTTTCATTTTATCTGATAAAGTAGCTTATGAGCGCAGCGCTGTTTACCGCTATATTTCTGATGTTCCAAAAGCGCCTCCTACTGGCAGAGAATGAATGTGCATTTTCAATAATCCCATCTGCAGTTTTGGTTCAGACCAATGCGAAAATCCACCCACATAACCCTGTTTTAAATAAATATAATAATTTATACTTCTGACTCTTTAAAAAAAAATGGTTTAAAGGCTCAATTGTGAGGTTTATCATTTTATAATTTACTTTGTTTTTGTGAAAACCTGTATCTCAACTGTAAATCAATTGCTATTTATTGGTCTACAACATGAAAGAAAGCGATTCTAAGAGGTACATGAAAAAAGTAGAAACACTGGACACAAATATGGGGCACCATTGAGCATCAGCAAGCATCACAACAACAAAAAACAACAACCTCAAAGTTGATCAGGTCCCATTCCTATATTTTGCCTGGGGCCCCCAATTCACTAAATTCGCCCCTGGTCATCTTATCATATCCCTTTGGCTGCCCTTATGTAATTCATAACCAAATGTCAGATTTCCTTGAGAATATGTGTGGGAATGATTTAATATCATCTTTCCTGTTGAATTCTCCTGTTGAATAGGTTGATGACATTTAGCTACTGCATATATTTGGTTAAATAACGTGTGAAATGTAGTGTGACTCACCTGTGCTGACGTCCTTCTAAGAATGCTAAAACATTTAATTGTTAAACATAATGGATACATCGATTCCGGACAACATGCAAAGAGATTAGCTGTAGCATTCAACACAACAATTGTGTCCTAACCAGGCGTGACGCAAGCAATTTGTCCATCCACAATGAAAGTGAAAACGCTGCACAACCTCATACAAACACGGGCAATTAGAACATGTTTATCATTTAAGCTGCATTCAAGTCATGTAAACATCTCAGTAAACACACTAGCGACTGCCCGTGCACAAGCTGCCATGAAAGCAGAAAGAGAAATAAAATAAAAATAAAAGTCGTATTTGTAAGGTAACTCTCAGGAGCTATTAAAACAATTTCTATAATATTGTACAATTAAATATTTGCGGTTTATGCTGTATATTTTATCTATACTGTATCTAATTTGAAGAGGAAAATGAGGTTTTACACCAAATACACAAAATAATGTTCTTTTTAGCAGCATCATATGACCCCTTTTAACAGTTGGTGTTTAAAGGGTTAGTTCCCCCAAAAAGGAAAATTCTGTCGTTAATTACTCACCCTTTTTATTCCACATTTTCGTCTCTACTGCGTCACTTGTGGATGCGCGTTCACGACAGTATCATGACGCGAGCATGTCATGGTGTTTGTAACTTTACAGTTGAACCACTGATGTCACACGGACTACTTTGCAGATCATCTTGGTACTTTTCTGGACCTTGAGCGTGGTAGTTACCTTGCTGTCTATGGGAGGGTCAGAGAGACCTCAGATTTCATCAAAAATATCTTAAATTGTGTTGCGAAGATGAACGAAGGTCTTACGGGTTTCGAACAACACAAGGGTGAGTAATTAATGACAGAATTTTCATTTTGGGGTGAACTAACCCTTTAAGACAGAAGATGAGAGACTGAAACCAGGTGAGTAATCTTAGAGGTTGAAGAAGAGGAAAACCAATTCCTGACCACAAAACTTACAAAAATCTATATACTTTGTCCTCAGAGAAATTAACAAGAGGGAAAAAACAAATATTGTATTTTTTTTTTAAAAAGAACTGAAAGAATGAAACCAAAGAAGAAGCTAGAAAGGAAAACAAGCAAGAGACATTCAGGAATAAAAATGAATTGTAACCCTCCCCAACTTATTTAAAGAATGAAGAAATAAAATAAAATGAATTTGCACCAAAGTCATTTCAGTTCAATGTGCACACGTTTTAGGTACAGACTCCATCGTCCTCTCACAGGAGCGCAGTCCCCCATCACAAAGCATGAAGAAGATCCACACTTCTTTGCAAAACTAACAGCTGTCCTCATAGTTTTCCTCCACCTTTCCCTTTATGACATGTTGCATAGCATACTTTCACAGGATATGCATTACATAGTCTCAACAGCATGCCAAACCTCACTGGCTTTCTGAGCGCTGCCGCAAGACGTGGTGTTAAAACCAGACACTTGGACAGCAAGCGGTTGGCTGAATCATCTTTCTCTCACTCAGTGTAATTTTGCATTCAAAAATGGCCTTTATTTGCAGTATCCCAGAGGTCACTTTGACTGGAGGCGTGGGCAGAGTCTTTCCGTCTGTCCTCCAGCACTCATTTACATTAAATTATTGTCCCGACAAAAGTTTCCTTACTCTCGGTCTCAGTCCTGCTTGCAGAGGAGATCGGTAGAGGGAGTTTTAGTGGGCGGCAGCGGCCTTGGAGGGGGCGTGGGTTTGGCCCTGCGTGGGCTGCCCGAGCCTCCTTCCTCGCTGTCAGTGTTTGTATTGGAGGCAGAGAGGGGTGGCGGTGGCAAACGTGGGAGAGAGGACGTGGCGGAGGCCAGTGGCGAGATGCGTGAGCAAGATGGCGTGGAGCGAAGGCTCTGGATCCGCCGGCACTCCTGGCACACCCGCACGTGTGTGCAGCCACGGGGCGCCGCCGTGGGGACCAGAGCGGGTGCGCTACTGGGGACACTGGCGCTGAGAGGATCCTCCAGCAGTCGCTGAGGGCCTGGGCCCATTTCCGCAGCGCCCCCACCAGGTCCCGGTCCTGCTGCGGCGCCAGTTAATGGTCCTGTCCCGCTGTAGAGTTTGCCGTTGCTGAGACGCATCTCCCGCACAAGGCGCATTTGACGGGGAGCTCCTAAAGGGAGACGGGCCGGGGGCCGGAGGATGCCCTGGGACGAGAGGGGTCGCCGGCGCCGCATACGAGTGTTCTTTTTACAGGAGATAACGTTTCTGAATTCAGTCATCATTTCCTGACATACTGACACCTTAGTGAGGATCAAAGAGGAAGAGAGAGGAAAGAGATTCAGGAAGGAAATATATATGGAGAAAAGACAAAAAGTGAAAACAGAACATAATTTATCTAATGTGGGCATCACTATTTGTATCTCATAATGAAAGTTAGGGCAGTGGTTCTCAACCTTTTTCCACTTCAAGACCCTGCACTGCACACAACAATATTTGAAGGCCCAATAACTTGTACAGCTGCTCGTTATTTACTTGATAACGATTTGTAAATAAATAAAATATTTTGAGCTTGGCATCAGTAGAAAAACGTATAGTCATAAAATATATTAAAATACCCATGGAATTATAAGGTTAATAATTTACATGACTTCCAGTTCTATATTAAAATTAGGTTACATCATATTTCCTGGTATTTCAACGCAAAAAAATTAATCCTGGTTCTTCAAAGAGGGGGTGAATTGAAATAAGAAATATCTTGAGTTTTAGTTGTTTCAGCTTATTTTAATGCTTTTTTATGTCTTATTATAAATCATTTTAAGTAATCTTGAGGCCTCCTTGGAAGTTTGCTGAGGCCCCATAGTGGGCCCCGGTTCCCTGGTTGAGAACCACTTACTTAGGGGTTTATCTACCTAGCAGACTAATAAATGGGTGAAAAAATCCCATAAATTTAAATGTATGCATTTGGTAGAAGACTTTATCCAAAGCGACTTACAATGCATTCAAGATATACAGTATATAATATCAGTAAATGTGCTTGCTGTTGCTAATGGCATGCTTTGCCACTTGATATACAGAAAAATCTGCATTGAATAAAGTTTGCAAAGTAGAGTCTTCCGTACAAAAACAACTAAGTCTTTATTTTTTCCATTTGTCTAATTGCATGAGCAAGCATTTTCTTTAGAAAAAAAAAAAGAATCATTTCCTTTTTCTTTCTCAATTTCAGTCTTGAAAATTTTTAATTTTCCATTTAATTAAATGAACATACTAAAATGGTTTATAATAGCATTCGTGCATACTCCAAACAACTTTTTTATCAAACGCAACATATATGCAGCACACAATGCATATACATTTGATAATTTCAGGGAATCGAACCCATGACCTTGTTGCTGCTTAAAGCCATGTACACTGTTTGAGCTGCAAAAATACGAGCGGTAAACTGTGTGAAAGCTATGGAACAGTTACATCACAAACACAGACGGCGTAACTGGGTGGCGTTGTGACCTACTCGTGAGTGTCTGTGGTTTCGGACGGGGCAGGAGTGAAGGCGTACCTCATCTTTCTCGGCCGAGCGGCGCGTGGACCACACAAACTCCATAACGGCTACAAAAACAGCTATTATGAGCCCACATATCAGCACAACAAATATCCCGCCGATATTCTCCATACCTAGACCTGAAGGAAAAACACAGAAATGTGAGCAACACACAGAAACGTCCTTCCACACACACACACACTGTGGATCTGATTAGAGATCTGCATTCCTGCAGGTTTCCAGAGGGATCCTATTAAAATATATTTCAGAAATGTAGGTGGGTGTAGGCGGTATTCCTTAGAGTTATCAGCGGAAGCATGAAGCCAGGCGGTTTGATAAGTACAATTTTTAATTTCTCTTTATAAATAAATAAATAAATAATGTCTGAAATGATATTTTTCTATGAATTTATTAAAATAATAACAATAATAATAATAATGAGGGAACGGAACCTAAAATGTGCAGGACTGTGTGGGAAGAATGTCAGAAGCCACTGTGAGTATAAAAGGAAGGAGAAATATCTTAAAAAAAAAAAAAAAAGAAGAAGAAATGTATTTCTATTACCATGAACTTGTTTGAATTTGCACAGTAATCAACTTCTATTCCGTGTTGGGTCACCATTAAAATTGAACTCCTGAAGCAACAACAGCTGAGAACAGACAGGGATTTTCGGCTTTCAACTAAAGTGGTTTAGTTGCCATTGATACAATTACAAAGAAACACCAACTAAAAACTTTGTTTGAGCAAGAATAAGTGCACAGAATAACTCTGGGTTTAGCAGTACTGAATCACAAAAACAGAGCTCATATTATTTGACATTTTCTTGCAGACCTGTAAATAACCCTGAGAGACTGTAAATGTCACTTTCTGGTGAATATACAAGCTTTGCGAACCACACAAGAGAAATTACACACACAGGTGCACGTGTGTGTTCATGCCTGCGCACCAAATAGCTACCATTTTCCCTCCAATCCCCCTGGGCCTGCATGAGTCTACAACATACAGAATGCAAATATCACCAGACCACACAAATAAACACTCACAGAGTTAGCAGAACTGTGAAGCATCTGTTGTTTGAATCAGACGGATGTAGTACATCCTATATGCAACATTATAGCAATATAGAGAGCGACAGGAAATCAAACATCCACACTGCCAATATTAGTGTGATTTGAGGAAAACTCATTTTTTTATATTTCACACAAATAGCTGTTTATTTGAAGAGCAAGATACACTTAGGTAGGCTAGGGAAGGCTGTTGCAGGTAAACAAATCACACCATGCAAACACTACATTCAGAATTCTCACACTTTATGACCAATGAATTTCTATTATCCATGTTTGTTTCTAAAAATCATTTTGCTGACACTGCACTCACAAATAGTAATTTATAACCAAATAAATACTTTAGAAATGTCTGTATCTAGAAAGATTTTCTTGACATTTTATTAACTTTATTCATTTCTAGGACTTCACCAGGCCTGGAAATCACACTTGTGAAATTCTCTGATATTATCAGGATTTCCAGGACGATCTGAGGGAACCCTTGGGTATTCATACATATCCATCCCTAATCCAAAAATACAAGTATTGGTATACTTAGCCACAAAATTAGAAATTATTTAAGGCAAGACGCTTCAGGCAAAACCATTGTTTTTTCATGCACTGATCTATTTTGTGGTTTTGGGCTCTTTTGCTTCCATAACGCAACTTCTTCCAGATTAGTGGAAAGAAAACATCCTAAATGCACATTAAGTTTTTATTTTATGACATTTTATCTATTTGTGCTTGTAGATTTCAATTGCAATACATATCTGTAAAGGCTGTTTTCTCAAAATAAGTTTTTCTCATGCACTGAGCCAGAAATCGCCACTTCAACAGCGCTTACACACACCAACTTGATGCCTTATTTGCATTTTTTAAACATAATATTTATATATAAAACTTACAAAACAATTGTTTTAATGTACTGTAAACTGGCAAAAGCATGGCGATATCTAAGGAACCTTTGATTGCCTTACATTATTTTAAAGCTGTTTTCCTTACAAAGACATTCATCAGTTTTAGCATTCTTCTAATATTTTATGATAAAAGGGTGAAAAACTATAGGATAAAATGAATAGGATACATTTTTGTCCCTGTAAGAATAGCAAAACTTACTCATACTAATACACACACTACTCACTTCTTCTGTAGGTGAAGCTGGATCACGAATGATTCGCATAAACATAGACGCATTTAGGTAGATCGGGGGCGCATTCCATTCAAAAACAAACATAATCCACTGCGTCTTCAGCGGCTCAGATGAAACTTGTAAAAGTGCATGTAGCATCCTATGACCCCTTTAAGAATATATACATTCAGGGTCGTACCAGAACCCATAAGTTGAAGTGCCAGTACCGTTGGTATCAGGATGTTCAGTAACAGAACAGTATGTTATGTTCAGGTGCTAGTTAGTATAATAACAGTGCTTCACTCACCTTTGGCTCGATGGTCTTCTTCTTTAGGACACTTTCCGCCCTCCCACCATCGACGCTTTAGGACTTCTAATCTGTTGTTCTCTTGCAGCTGCAGTATGCCTAATGTGATCTCATCTCTGAATGGTGAACCTGCAAGAGAGAGAATGAAATTGGCTAGTTTAGCTGGTTAGTCAACTGGACTCCCAGGGTTACCAGCGGACAGGTGTCCAAAACCAATCTAAAACTTTGGCAAGGCTGGGAAACTAACTAACTACCTTATGATTAGTTACAGAGAGGATAAGCGATGCTATGTTAGTATTAGCACTGATACACAAAAAGTAAACAGTTTTTGGTCTTTTGGACACCTTTAGTGACAGGGACATTTATAGGAAATGAGCCAAACCAGTGTTGCCCTCATTAGCATTCTGGTTTAAAGTGTCAGAACACATACGCTAACTGCTAAGACATGACTGAGTATGTCTTAAGTCAACTAATGTTGTGCAAATTAGTTAAATTAGCCAGTGTCAGAATGAAAATGAATGTTATGATAGGTTAATTCCAAATTATTTGACTTGTTAGAATAACATCACCCTTCATTAAACATTACTGTATCACAGCTAATCATGTCACGCTAATAACGATGTGACGTGAAAGGATGTGCTCATCAAATTAAAAGATGTTAATTCAAATTAAACACTGCAGATATATTCACTGGAATGGATCAGCTGTCACTGAATGTTAGTTTATTTTTCATTCAAAGGCTGTGAAAGTGAAGTACCTTACATGTGCATGGTTTTGCACCCCAGTATAATAAGCACAAAACATTTATTTCATGTGTCAATATCACTTACATCAAGCCCTGTGTTTAAAGTTGCAATTTTCTCATGTCATGTAAGCTAAGAAATATGCAAGCTTTCAAAAACTCTTTGCTTTCTTACCAACCTCTTTAGAAAAAAATAAACCTGCCTGTGGCGTTGCTTCTTGCATGTTTTGCATTATTTTCAAAAGTGAGATGTCCAGTGAGGGGTGCTTAAAGCATGTTCAGTTTTATCCAAAATGTTTGCTGAAGCAACCATGCCATTTTAGCTTGCTTCTGCAAGTCTTTGAGCTGTTCTATTGCGACGTGTATCACAGGACTCGTACCCGAGTGCTCTGCATCGCTGAACCAGGTGAGCTAGCAAGCAAGTTTACATCAGAAAAGCCATATGAAGCTAATTATGTGATGCAAACTTCAAAATGTATTGGCTTACAAATCATGCAATATGGTAAACCTGTTTTGAGGTCAAAACATAATATTGTGCAAGGTTATTTTTAATTGATAATCTGCCCCTGTAATAGAAATTTGTGTGAAAAGAATAAAAATTGTTGGTGTTTTCCACCACTAGTGTTCATTTCAGCTGGAATCTGCAGTGGATTGTTATTTATAGGTATGTTTTTTTTTTTAGTAGGTAGAGGCACGTTTTTCCAATGAGCTTATGTCATTGCTAACCTTATTGTTTTGTATCTTATAAAATTGTTTGCAAATACCTATATTTGTTAACAAGAATAAAGCTGGAATTTAAAACAGCATGGTTTTGAAAGGTCACCAACTGGATATTGCATTGCTTGGTTGTAATTACATTCTAAGCTTGTTATCTCAGGTTATAAGGAATTTCTTTCACCTTCTAGTACTGACATTTTTTGATAAGTTTAAATATAAATAAATATATATATATTTTTAAATGACCCGACTGAACCTGACTATTCACCACAAAAGCACATACAGTACATTAAACATAAAGGTATTCACAAACAATTTTACTACCGTAATGTGATGTTTTTTTGACTGAAATAGAATAATAAGTTAATGCATAGGTACCTTTAACTAACAATGAAGAACTATCTATCTATCTATCTATCTATCTATCTACCTAGATTTAAGTATCTAATATAAACTAACATAAATTAAATTATCAATATATTTAAAATAATATTATACTACATCAATAAATGCTTTAAAATGTTTTTTCATAGTTTATGTAACTAGTCTTTAACAAATTGAACCTAATTGTGAGGTGTTACAGAAGGAAGACATTAGTATGGGTGTGAAAGAGTAATCAACTAACTAGTCACTTAAAAGGTCAACTTTGATTTCATGTTTTACAGTCTAAGCCAGTCTAAGGACTCAGTGGTGACACCATCTGCACTCGAGGTTGCTATGGAAGCAGATGGAGGGTGTCCATGGTGACCAGCTTCTTCATGAATGAGTGGATGAGAGAATTTTATCACTTGGCACCAGAACTTTGGAAGGCGACCTGAAGAGATTAGTTAGAACCGGGAGGAGGGAATGAATGTTTGAGCTCCTGGAAGACATTCTATGACCTGGAGATAGTCTTTGAAGACGGATGCTGCTCCTGGGTTCTCATTTCAAATCTAATTATGGGATCATGCGATTACAAGCGTATGGTGATATTTCGGAGGACAGTTTAGGCTAGTGGTCATGAGGTTGTTGGACTGATCTTCCTGGAGGACACAATATCAAAAACAGCAAGCAGCACAGGCAATTTCCTCACCGCATCTACTCACCTACTGTAGGTACAAGTTCCCCACTGATGTTTGTGAGTATTCAGAAGCATTCCTGCTTCATATGTCCTGTCTCTTACTCATACTCTCATAATCTTCTCTGCTAAAACAAGACTGTCCTCATTCCTTCTCCTTAACGTTTTGGAGCCATCATTTCTTTTTCAAGGGACCAAAAACCAACGTTTTTTTTTTTAATTCTTCATGCATCATGGGAGTCAGTGGCAGCCCATATAACTGTATTGGCACACTGGGAAGGTTCATAAGGGATGGTTCACCCAAAAATTAAAATTCGGCCATCATTTACTCACCCTCCACTTGTTCCAAACCTGTATGAGTTTCTTTCCTCTGCTGAACACAAGAGAAGATATTTTGAAGAATGGTTGGTGGTTGATGGTAATCACTGACTTCCATAGTTTTTTTTTTTTTTTTGTGCCATACTATGGAAGTCTGGCT